AAAAATGCAAAGGTCAGAAGGAGAGAAATTATAAAGTTCTTATATATGAAACGAAATTTAATAAATTGAAATACACACTATAAAATCTAAGCTAACACAGCAGAGTTATGATTAGTGAGCTAACAAGGCAGCAATACCAATAGCAGAATAATAAACATATCTACTTACACCAAAGAAGGACAAAGAGAAGAGAAGGAACAAGCAAGACCATAGAACAAACACAAAGCAAGACAAGGTCAGATTGAGCCACCCTGTGTGGAAAGCTGTATTGCATGTGAATGGTCTGGATATCACAACTGAAAGACTAAGACTGGTAGGTTGGCCTAAAATAACTAGTCACAGGGCTGGAGAGATGGCTCAGTGGTTAAGAGCACTGGTTGTTCTTGCACTTGCAGAAGACCCAGGTTCGAATCCCCGCACCCACATGGCAGAAAAAACACCCATAACTCCAGTTCCAGGGGATCTGACACCCTCTTTTGTCCTCCAAAGGTACTGCACAATGTGGGTACACTTATACACATGCAGTCAATATACTCATACACTTTAAATTTTAATAATTAAAAAAAAAACACATTAGTCAGGCCCACATTAGTCTCCCTTAGTGATGGTTCAGTGGTTAAGAGCACTGGCTGCTCTTCCAGAGAACCCAAGTTTGATTCCCAGCACCCACATGATGGCTAACAACTGTCTATAACTCTGATTCCTGGGAATCCAACGCCCTCTTCTGACCTCCACAAGCATTGCATACATGGGTACATGCATGCAGGCAAAACACTCGTAAACATAAAATAAAAATAAAATTTTTAAAAATTTTAAATATGAAGACTCACATTTAGAATAAAGTAAGAAATTACATTGGTCTAGGGATTTGGCAAAAGTAGGCTTTTCTCTAAGATATATGACCTCTCCAGTCATGTGTATTTGGTTATGTTTACAGTACTGTACCTGGAGTTTCCTCCCATTGAGTAGGCCTTAATTCTAACTAAACAGCTTTTGAGTATCCCCAAGATAAAAGTGCCACTACTGCACCAATAGAGACAGTCTGCTGGACCAATCATTGTTGTTTATTAGGCTTTGCAACTGGGTAGGAACACTGATTGGTTTTCTCCCTTGGCAGCTTATATAGTATCCTCTGATACCATTGTACAGAGAACAAGAGACTACAGAGTCCTCATCCCTGAACAGGAGAGCTATTTCAAACCTCCGCCTCCCAAGGCTCAGGGGTCATTGTGGAAGAGAAGTCAGAAAGATGGTAAGAGCCAGGGCGGGTGGATGACCGCAAGGAAACAGAGTCTTCCAGACAGCTGGTCAGTTACTCATGTGAACTCACAGCAATGGTAACAACATGCATAAATCTTATGCAAGTTCAAACCAGACAAAATCCCGGCATAGACATAGACATAGGGAAGTGGGTAAGAAATCCCAACCCAACCTAAGGAACTTTTGGCAAATTGGTGGCTGCTGGGAGAGGGAAAGACAGTGTCTTATAGGGTTGGAACTCTTGGTTGGCCCAGTGGATGGATCCACACTGAAAGACATTGGGGGACAAAAATCATACTCTGTGGGCCACATTACATATATATAAGAAGTTCATTAAACTGAGAAGAGGAAGCAGTGGTGGGATATAGAGAGAGGAGCAGATCTAAATGCCATCAAACTATAATGTATGAAAACTGCAAAAATTTGATTTAAAAAATGCAAAAAAATAAAATTTTAAAGAAATGAGAAATGAGTTAACAAACCCAAACTACATCAAAGGAAATATTAAAACTCAGAGAAGAAATCAAACTGGAAAGAGAAAAACAATAAAGAAACTCAACACAACCAAAAACTGGCTCCTTGAGATCACACAATTCACAAACTTCCAGATGCCATAAATTGCCAATTTGGAGGCTGGGTAGATGGCTCAGCAGGTAAAGAAATAGCTGCACAGGCCTGAGGACCCAAGCTGGATTCCTGGAACCCATGTTTGTTTGTTTGTTTGTTTATTTGTTGTTTGTTTAAAAAAGCAGGCTAGAGAGATGGCCAGCAGTTAAGAGCACTGGCTGCTCTCGCAGAGGACCCAGGCTCAATATCGAACACCCACATGGCAGCTAACAACCATCTGCACC